ACGAAATCTGCACTTCAACATCCACAAAGTCCTGCATCTGCCACGAAACCTGCACGTCAACACCCACAAAGTCCTGCACCTGCCACGAAATCCGCACTTCAAGGTCCACAAAGTACTGCGCCTGCCACGAAACTCGAAAAACAAAACATATCCCAAACAAACACAAGAAACAATCCTGAATTAAATCCGAGCCCATGTTCAAGTGTGTTCTGAGACAGGAAACTTGGGCGGTGGTGTTTGTTTGCGCCGCAATACATGGGCTGCGATCACGTATGTTTTCTTCACCAAGACTGAATGGTTCTGGCGCGAGAGTAGAGGACTGATGGTAGTTTTTGGAATCCCTGATTCTGCTATCCAGTTTGTGACTTCGCTTGCTTTGCATCCGTTTTTTTTGAATATGGCTGATGAACCCTTCCAACCTATGTTGCAAGAAAAGGGATTGGATCATGAGTTCATGTGGATGCAGACGCCCGTGAAGGAGATGAACTCTATGTGACCGCTCTGGTGGTTTTCCGTGTTCCGGACACTTGGTCCATCAGCCATGTGACTTCATCTTTGGCTGCTTGCGATGAACGATTCCCCAATTTACAGGGGATGACCGCTTAGGGATTGGTTAATACCACTCCATCTTTCCCGAATCAGGCCAGACACCAGTGTGAAGCAGTGTAGTTCAAAAGCATGAGTTCTAAATAGGAGGGGGAAATACTAGGGTCAGAAAATGCACATGTCACATCAGTCACACCATGAAAATTCCAGTTCCATATCACGAAAGGTTGCCCCCCCGGCGGGATCAACTCCCCTGGGGCGGACGAATTTATCTTCCATTGTAATATGGCTTCGTGTGATTGGATTCCAATTCACAATGATGTGTCGCAATATATATATATATATGACCTCCATGGCATACTCGACTGAACGTACTTCAAGGCCAAGCGCCACCAAAGCATATATTTGAGTACGACGCCTTGATTGGAGGATCCCTAGCAAGTCTCCAATTTGTTTATCTTTGTTCTAGTTGCATTTGGCCTTTAAATCACTTTGACCTAGTCGAAGATGTGACTACACCACAGGCTTTCACACACTGAGCCAGTCGCAGCCTTTGTCAGCAACAGCGAGCTTATGACTGACCGGACGTAGCACACACACAACGAACACACTTCGTTTGGCCTGTACCGGTTTTTGGCCAAAGATGCTTTTGGACGGGAAGGAACGTTTGGATTTTTGCTCAAAAGAGTCAGCTTGTAGAATGACCTGACAGAAGCAAGTCTTGCTGAAGTAGGTGCGATATTTGGGGATTGACTCTTTTGGCTTGGATCTGTTTGATCAGCTCTCCAGACTGTCCATGTCCAAGATCTTTTTCTCAGACCATGTTGCCAGGCCCATAGAGTCCCGAACCCTGCCACTTCCGCACTGTTGAGCCGAAAGTGACCCGCAAGCGACGCACTAATATGGACCCAAAACCCGGGCCAAGTGAAGATGTGGTTTCAGTGTTTGGATGCGGAGTGTGTTTGTGTACGTACTTAATTTGCTGCTAAAAAGGCCAACGTTTCCACATTTTGTGCAACCCACCCCCTAAAAGATGCCATTCATGTTGTTGCATCAACTCCCAAGTGGTCTTGCTTCTTTGAATCCCCACCGGCGGTTCTCATCACGAAAGGTAGCCCTTTAGGGGATACCTTGAGTTTGTCTTGCGAAGCAAGTGTTGGGACGTCCGGGTCTAATAATTGATCGCTCAATTCAGACCCCCCCCC